TATTGACAAATGGCTTCTGGTTTCTTTTGCTACACAAACTTTTCTAATTTTTAGGTAGCCGATATAATTATTATTATTTTGCAGTTTTTTGGCTGGGGCTGGGTTTGAACCCGCCACCTCTGGCATATGGGGCTGGCGCCCTACTCCCTTGAGCCACAGGCACCACCCTACTATAGCTTTTTTACAACAAAGATTTGTTTTACTGGCTATAAATTCTCCTCTGAGTACAGTTTTTTCTGTGTCCCACTGGTTCTCATATATAATATTTGTTTTGATGATAAGTTTATAATTTCTGTTTTTGATGCTATTCATCCTTTGATTTCCTCATTAATTTGGAAATTATATTATTTTTCAACCATTATAGTTACACTCATTTTTCTAGCACTCAAAAAAAAAAATGATTTTCTACAATTTTATGAAAGCCGGTTATCACTGATCTCAATACATGCTTTTTCTCACACCAATAGGCCTTATTTCTTCACTGCTATCCCTCATTCTCTATTAGATTAACTTAAAAAATTTGTACTCTCCTCACCCACCTCCAAGAGACCTCCAACTTCTAGGTATTAATAATCTATATTTAGCATATACTTTGTATGTGTAATCTTATAAATATTTAAGAAAAAATTCCAAACCACTACCTGTAAGGTTCTGTGGGAAAGATCCATGAGTTTCCTCTTGTACTGTGCAATTTTGGCCATAGTTGTAGTTTGATTCTTCTGTAGCTCACTAATATCTTCAGATATGATCTGTTTTTTTAAAGAAAAATAATTTTTCAGGTAAATAAATTATAGACATCATAGATATTTAGCAGGTACACTTATATGCAGTCTAATTTTCAGATAAGCCGGAGATTCATCCCTTAAAATATAAACCCTTTTCCTTAAATCTACTTTTATATTTCTTCCCTTTTTATATACCTCAAAATTTTAAAAGTGTAACTCAAAGTTTTCTTTAAAGCTCCACGAAGCTTAAGTTGAGACAATGTATAGAAAAAATAAAACATACACTTCAGAATTAATTAAGGAATTGGAATGTTACAGAATAGAGCCAACAACTAGGCCTGAATGAAAAAAAGTTCAAATCTGTAAGGTAACATCCAGAGGGTGCCTTAGTGGATAATTAGTCCTAAATCTAACTACTGCCAATACTTCGAGAGAGTAAGCAGAGTGGACATGGAAAGGAATGATATTAATTATACAGCCAAGTACAATTTTGCATCTCTGATTTGCTTTTTGCCTGGCCTAAAATCTCACTGCTCTGTCTTATGAGGTCTAAATCTTATAGAATAGGTTAAAATCTCACCATTTCATTAAAGCATTCCAATCAGATTTAATCTCATAATTGTCTCTATCACAATTAATCATTCTGTCACTGATATGTTAAAATTAACACTCAGTATATACTGGAAACATTTGTTAGCTTGTATAATGCAATCTCTTGGAATTGCAGAAGTCAAATGTGACTTAAGTATTAAAATTTTAACACAGTTCTTTCCTTTCTTAAAATGTGTGTTTCTTTTTGGGTACTATCTGTATTTAATTCTTCACAAATTACAGTCTTTACATTTAAGGCAATTCCAACTATAGTTATTCCATTTTGACAAACTGATTCTAAAATGTTTATGGAAGAATAAAGATCCATAAAAAGCTAAGGAAACTTTGAGAAAAACAAGATTAGAGAGTCACTCTGCTAGTTGGTAGGATACACGACAAAGCCCTAATAGTAAAAACACTGTGGTACTAATATAAGAACTGACCAGCCAGCCACTGGAACATCAGGAGGGTCTCCAGAGACAGACCACATGTAAATGGAAGCTTGGCATAACTGAAATTCTTTGATAAAACATTGTGAATATCAAATTTTTATGTATGATATACAAAACATGAAACCACTACTTAGAGAAAAATAAAGTTGGGGGCGGCGCCTATGGCTCAGTGAGTAGGGCAACAGCCCCATATGCCGAGGGAGGTGGGTTCGAACTTGGTTCCGGCCAAATTGCAACAAAAAATAGCCCGGCATTGTAGTGGGCACCTGTAGTCCCTCAGGAGGCTGAGGCAAGAGAATCGTCTAAACCCAAGAGCTGGAGGTTGCTGTGAGCTGTGATGCCACAGCACTCTACTGAGGGTGACAAAGTGAGACACCGTGTCTAAAAAAGAAGAAAAATAAAGTTGTAAAAGGAAGAAAAATAAAGAGGACAAAAGATCCAAAGGAGAAAGATTAAATTCTAAAATGCTAAAAAAAAGAGAGAGAGAGAGAGAAAGACTGTTAGGCCTAGGGTGAAAAATGACTTAAGCAAATTCTGACAAATAAAACACAAGGTGAAAAATGAATGGCTATCCTTAAATTAAGGATTTCTGTTCATTTAAGTACACCAAAACAGAGTTAACAAATGAGAAACTAGGTATGTGGTGCTATAAGCACACAGAAACTATAATCTAGCATCATGATGAACAGCTGAAGTTGAATGAAGAAAAGACAGGAAGCATGATAGAAAAATCATGCCCATCAACCCATTTAGGGCCCCTAAATGGATTAATAAACTGTGGCGTATATATACCATGATACTATTCAGCCATAAAAAAGAGGGAGGTTTTACATCTTTTTTATTTACCTAGATGAGTTGAAAGACATTCTTCTTAGTAAAGTATCACAAGAATGGAAAACCAAGTGTCCAAGGTACTCAATACTAACATGAAACCAATAGATAAACTACATCCCCACATGAGTGAAAAACAAAATTAAATTCAAGTGAGGGGGGTGGGGAGAGGATGGAAAGGGAAGAGGGGAGAAAAGAGGAGGATTCGTGAGTTCTCACCTAATGGGCACAAGGCGAGGGTATATAGCACACCCCCTGGATGAAGGGCTCAACCACAATTGAACTTTACCTAGCAAACCCCAACAGTATAACATAATCATTTGTACCCTCATAGTAATCTGGAAAAACTATATATATATAAAGACAGATTGGCAAAAAATATGAAAGATTTCAGCTCTGGACAAGATAGACTGAGCACATGCCACACACACTCTCCCACTAAATATAGCCAGAAAACTTGAATGGCTACCTGAAGACTCAGAAAAGTAAACCATGGCAGGATGACCGGGGAAGAAGATGTGAATTAAAAATACCACTGACCTGGTGGGAAGTTTATCAGTTTTCCCTTCAGGCATCCTTGGTCTGGTTTCAGTCCAGCTCTAGACCTGGACATGAGCTTACAAGCTAACAGAGCACCCCAGGAGAAGCCTGCTGGTTCTAGTGGAGGAGATACCTTGTAATATCTAGAGAAGGGTTTCTCAACTTCAGAACCATTAATTTTGGGCCAGATAATTCTTTGTTGCATGAGAACTGTCCTGTATGCTGCAGGATGTATACCAGCATGCAGGCCTCTACACGCTTGATGCCATGGCCCTCCCCAATCAAAAGAGTCTCCAGACATTGCCAAATGTGCTCTGGGGGACAAAACCACCACTACCACCATCACCACAACTTCCAACTGAGAACTAGTGACTTAGAGCAACCACTAAAAGCAAACTAAAAGTTGAAATGATAATATATTAAAATGGAATGCTAAATAGCTGGGCCTTGCAGTCCCAGATACTTGGGTGCCTGTAGTCCCAGATACTTGGGAGGCTGGGGCAAGAGAATCGCTTAAGCCCAAGAGTTTTAGGTTGCTGTGAGCTGTGACGCTATAGCACTCTACCGAGGGTGACAAAAAAGAGAAGCATACTTCTAATATAATGATACAAGTAGATTGAAAGCAAAAAGACAAGCATATACTACAAAAACACTTATCAAAAGAAAGGAATGTAAATGTCAGAGTAGACCTCAGAGCAAGTATCTGAATAGTGTCTAGGAACAGAAGAATGGATAAAGGAAATGTGGTAAATATACACAACGGCATACTATTTAGTTATGAAAAAAAAGGGCACACAATTCTGCCATTTGTTCCAACATGGAAGCTTAAAAGATTTTATGCTCAGTGAAATAAGCCAGGAACAACAAAAACAAAAATACCACATGTTCTCAGTCACATGCAGAAGCAAGGAAGGGTACAGGGAGGGAGAACAGCCAAAGATTGCTGAATGGACACAGAAGTACAGCCGGATAGGAGAGGTGAAGTCTAGGGTTCTGAGCACCACAGGGTGACAACAATTTATTGTGTATGTTCAAGTAGCTATAAGAGTGGATCTTGAAGAGTCCCAACACAAAGACATGAAGTTAAACATGATAGATATGCTAATTACCCTGATTTGATCATCACACATTGTATACATGTATTGAATTATCACACCATACCACATAAATATGTACAATTATTATGTATCAATTAAAATAACAATAAAAGCCATTAGGTATCATTTACTTATTTAGTTTTTATTTTTTTGAGGGAGAGTCCCACTCTGTCCCCTGGGTAGAGTACCATGGCATCATAGCTCACAGCAACCTCAAACTCTTGGGCTCAAAGGATCCTCTTGCTTCAGCCTCCTGAGTAGCTGGGACTACAGGTGAAGGCCACTATGCCCAGCTAATTTTTCTATTTTTAGTAGAGACAGGGTCTCAGTCTTGCTCAGGCTGGTCTCCAATTCTTGTGATTCTCCAAGCAATCCACCTGCCTTGGCCTCCCAGAGTGCTAGGATTACAGGTGTGAGCCATGTGCCTGGACAGGTAAAATTTTTTAAATAACTAGTAGTAAAAAGGGACATTACATAAAAAGTAAATCTGCCAAGAAAATGTAATAATCCTTGATAAATATGTAATTATCAACAAAGCTTTAAGATGCATGAAGCAAAAATAGAAATGAAAGGGGAAAAAAGATAAATCCAGAACTACAGCTGGATACTTCTCTCAATAATGAAACTAGTAGACAGAAAAATCAGTAAGAATATAGAACTAAATATACTATCAACCACTGGATCTCAAATCTCCTTGACATTAATAGAAAACTCTACCCAAGAATAGCAGAATACACATCATAGTAGAACATCCACAGACAACCACCTTCCTACACTGACCACCTCCTTAGTTGACCTAATTTGCATAGACCAGACATGCACCACATGTATGTATCAGTACAGTGGGCTTAGCTACTTATGTCGACCACCAGTTTGTTACTGTCCCTTGTGCGGGCACCTTACAGAGGTTCTACTGTATTTTCAAAGATGCCTGAGTTATAAAATCTTAACAAAATTAAAAGAATTAAAATCATACAAAGTTCAAGAGTCTTTAATCTGATTATCAAAGTCCACTTAGTAAAATACTACGTTTTAAGCATTCAATAATTTAAATTTGCTTCATCAACATACACCAAGCCAATTAGACATATTACAACATAAAGAATCATAATTGTAGCCTTCATTTTCCTAAGGCCCCATAAAGAAAAGTGTTTAATAAAGAAAATATGCAATTTCTAGGTGAAATTGGAAATGACAGTCTAATTAGTTTGCTAAACCAACAATTCTAAATTCATCAGTAGTTGTACAAAACCGTAATTGTTAATTTGCAGTGTATGCTAGATAAAACAGTAGCACACAAAGTAAAAAGAATTAAATGTATATAATCCCTTTTTCTACTCTGAGAGCCAGAGAATGAAAAGTTAAATGCTTACATCTAATCTTGTTTGATGCTGCTTAGTCATCTGATCTTGAACCTTCAGTCTTCGGAGGAGTTCTTTGAAACCCACCATTGGTACAGGAATTAACCTGAAGAAATTCAAGTGGACAATTTTTAGATCTGAAGCCTATTATCATAAGATCAAAGAAATTAGGATTTTTATCATAACACTCATGAAATTTTACATCAAATTTCTAGGGTTCTAAGGAAGATCTACAACTATGGAATAAAAAAAATAACCTCCCCATTTTACAAAGGAAGAAATAATAGTTTAGTCAAAAAACTGCATTATTGAATCCCTACAATCTTTCCTTCCAATTTGGGCCTGGCAGAATGGCTCCTGCAAAGAAGGGGAGGGGGGGAGATACCACCCCATTCTGCCATCAATGAAGTGGTAACTCGATACACCATCAACATTCACAAGCCCATCCATGGAGTGGGCTTCAGGAAATGTGTCTCTCGGTCACTCAAAGAGATCTAGAAATTTGCCATGAAACAGATGGGGGCTCTAGATGTTCACACTGATACCAGGCTCAACAAAGCTGGCTGGAACGTCCCATACGGTATCTGTGTGCAGTTGTCAGAAAACAATGAAAATGAAGATTCACCAAACAAGCTCTGTACTTTGGTTACTATGTACCTATTACCACTTTGAAAAATCAATAGTCAACGTGGTTGAGAACTGGTGATTGTCCGATACAGCAAATAAAGTTATAAAAACACAAAAAGTCCTGCATTATTAAATGCAATGTAATTAGGGGACTGGCACTCAGATTTCCATATTCTTAGTTCTCACTATACTATGCTGCCTTATCAGAAATGCAAATGAAAACAAACTCACTCTGATGTAAGAATTACAATTAATAATTCACATCTGTTTGGCTTCCTAGTAGCAAGTATTAGTTCTCATATAAAATAAGATGAAGAGATACTTACTTTTCAGAATCAGGGTTATCCACCTTGGCTTGTTCCCAAATAATAGGATCCACACCTACCATAAAGAAAAAATGTATTGTCTATTTTTATAAAATCTGTATAGAAAAGGCTTTCCTAAATTAACTCAAAACCCAGAAGCTGTAAGAAAAAAGATAGTCAAATATGATCACTATAAAAATACACATTTTTGTAGAAAATTCAAAGCACAGATCGAAAGGAAGTATCAATAACCTATAAGATAGAGAATATAAATCAGAAAGGAAGATAAAAGATCTAATAGAAAACGAGCAAAGGAAACCAATGGGTAATTCACACAAAATACAAACATTAGCTAATAAACACAGAAAAAGATGTTCAACTTTAGTAATAATCAGGGATGTGGAAATTAAAACAAGTACTCATTATTTTGCCATCAGTGACCAAAAAGAAAAGAAAAAGAACATATTTCCTGTTAAGAATGTAAATGGTACAACTTTCTTTGAAAGACAATTTGACAGTACTTTTAATGTTGACTCAAAAACTTCATTACCAGAGACCTCTTCTAAAGAAATACATACCCTTACCCATGTATTCTAAAACGTATTTACAAGAATGTTAATTGTATTAATGTTAGTTTATAATAGTGAAAAGACAGAAATAATTGAGAAGTGAAGGTATATCCATGGAATACTATGTAAAAGCTTACGATTTATCTACATGTACTAACATGAAAAGTACTAAGAAATAACATGAGTAAAAAGGCAAAGTGCAGTAAATGCACAGTGCAGAACCCTTTGCTAAAGGACATGGAAATATGCTTATATTTAAAACCATAGATAAAGGGTTAACAGAGCACCATAAATTATTTAGTTACTTCTGAGGAAGGGAGGTAAAGGGGATCTATCATATCCCCTTTATTTTAATCTAAATATGCCATCCAGAATTTTTTTACAATACAGACACATCTAAGTTTTATTTGAATTTCCATTTAAATCAAGAGATAAGCTAGAAAAAAGAAATCAAGATATTACTAGTGAATTACCTTTGGGTAGATAGATTATAGACTACGGACCACTTTAGTTCATCATTTCTCAAAATTTCTAATAAACATATTAGCTATATAGTAAAATAAATGAATAAATAAAACTAATTGAATTCATACAAATATTCAAAACTATCCTAAATAGGTAGGCATGTAAAAAGTTGACACTAGTTTTATTCACATTAACAAACCACCATCTCCCAGGGAACATTTAGTTCTAAATCTCTCATTTCCTGAACTCTGTGACTCTTGAAACATACCAGCAGGAGGGTTCTGTAAAAGCTGTTTGATCTGTGCAGGAGAAAGTTCTGTTCTAGTCATAGAAAGGGTCACCCCAAGTTGCTGCAATTGTGTTTTTACATTAGCCTGTTCAAAATGGGCATATAAAGTTGTAGCTGGAACTCTTCTTGAAGTACCATTTGGAGAACGCTCAACAACATAAATGACAACTTCTGTCCTAAAGGAAAGATAACCAATTTATTAAATATGAAGCACATAACTCTTGGCCACAAATCTCAAAGCAGCATGTGATCTTAGAAGGGTTTAAGATGAATTAAAAAATGGCTGTTTTAGAAGGGAATAAAAATATTTTCTCTGTAAATACTGGAAAATAAGAAACCTTTACTTAATGTTATGTTCACTTATAAATCAAATGATAAAGTTAAAATGAGGGAGGTAAATAACATTTGTAAAAGAGTTTGCTTAGTTGCAAAGTCATATAAAAATATTATTTATTACATTTTCCAGAGTTGAAAAGTACTTTGGAGATTCGTTTAAAACTCTGAGATTGCTCCTTTGCAATTAAGTCCAAGAAGTAAAATCTGATTCCATCATTATATATCATTAATAAAGTATTCCCAACCCTAAGTACCCCACAGTAAACGTCTTGCCACTCAGACAGACTTATACATAGAAAAAGGGAAGCAAAGCAATCCTACTTATCCATGAATGAACATGAATGTTAATCAGTTATTAAAACTTCCCAATAATGTTTTCTGTGGCCCTCAATTTGCACACAGCCATGATAAATGTTTTCTTCAAGGTTGTAAATGAAAATGTAAGAAATTACTAGCATCTAGTAAGAAATCCAATTTTTTTAAAAAAGCTTTTGAATACATGTTTTTATAAGTACTGAATAAGCACTAGCTGAGAAAAAAAATTCTGCTCTGAGATTTAATTTGTGCTTCTGCAACAAAAACACTGCTGATCCCTATCTTTGGACTAGGGCACAGAAATAAACAGTATATTTAATGTATACTTACTGATCATCTGGCAATGTTTTGATACCCTCTACATTTACAGTAAGGGCTTGGTTTCCTCCCAAAATTTTATGCAATGATTCTACCAACTGCTGTTGTTGGCTTCGAATATCTGTTTCTTTTTTGTTGAAAACTAAAACCACTAGCCCATCTTCATCTTTATTACTGGGCATACAACTATAACCTACTGCCTGTGGAATGACAAAATAAACAGCATCAAAAATATGTACAGATCTTAAATCAGGTGTTTAAAATTAACAGCTTAATATCTGCTAAGTAGGAAAAATATCTGGTAATGAAGGAAATAGGGCTTCTTTCCACCACTCTGTGCCCCAGGAGGTCACAAAATTAGAAAGAAAAATACTGTACCCAAGAATAGCTTAAACTTGTAGAGTGAAATTAAAATTTCTTCTTCAAGGCCTGGATGGTGGCTCATGCCTATTATAATCCTAGCACTCTGGGAGACTGATGTGGGAGGATCACTTGAGCCTAGGAGTTCCAGACCACCCTGAGCAAGACTAAGACTCCATCTCTACTAAGCATAGAAAAAGTAGCCAGGCACAGTGGTGGGCACCTGTAGTCTCAGCTATTCAGGAGACTGAGGCAGGAGAATCACTGGAATCCAGCAAATGAGGTTGCTGTGAGCTAGGCTGACACCACAGCACTCTAGCCTGGATGACAAAGTGAGGCTCTGTCTCGGGGGGGGGGGGGGGGTTGTTTTCCAAGAGAGCAACTAAAGAGCTTTCTCCTCTATAAAATTTTGATGTGCATTATTACTAAGTGTTTCTGAACTGCTGAAACAACTCTGAGACTATAATCCCAGCAACTTGAGAGGCCAAGTATTTCACTTGAGGCCAGGAGTGAGGCTGCAATGAGCTATAGAGTATAAATGCACTCCAGCCTAGGTGACAGAGCAAGACCCCAACCTCTAAAAGAAAAACAAGAAGGGAGAAAGAAAATCAACACTGCCTATGTCATTGTGACTACAAAAGGTACAGACTAAATATAATTTATTTCACTATATAGAAAGCTCTGACTTAGGATGGCTCAACTTATGATTCTACTACTTTATGATGATGTGAAAGCAATATACATTTCAGTTGAAATCATATTTTGAATTTTGATCTTTACTTTTTTAAACTACAGAATTATTTGTATTATTATAAAATAGATGATTTGTGTTAGATGATTTTGCCCAACTGTAAACTAATGTAAGTGTTCTGAGCACATTTAAGATAGATCTGGTATATTTAATGCATTTTCAACTTACAATATTTTCAATTTATGTTTATCAGGACATAAACCCATTATAAATCAAGAAGCATGCATATATCTGATCCATGGAATCTTAAACTAGGTGTTAGATATATAAAGAAGTGGCTCACACATAATACTGAAATACTGTAAAGAATGTATCATTTTATGGTTTCAGGTAATATAAAATTGTGTGAAACAGGTTTGTTTCATACATTCATTCGTTTCACATTATGTCCAACTATACCTTTCTAAAGAACTGCTCTTTTATATAGAATCCTTTCATCCCTTGTCACCATTTATATGCAACTTTAAAAAAAGTTTAAATTTACTCAAGTGTACATTATGCATTTTACCTATACATGTTATACACGAGCTTTTAAAAAATAAAAAAATTTGAATCACCATTTGCAACTATGTCTACTGCTTTTTACATGTTAAGTCGCTGAACAAAACTACTAAATTCAAGTACATGCACTCAAAAGATAGACTTTCTTTTTGTCAGAGTGATAGGACAAAGAGATGATCTTTGAACAAGACAGGTTGACCACTTTTTGTTTAGCCATTTTCAAGGGTCTACTCCTCAGCCCTGAAGCTACAGACATAGGTTATAGACACAATGATTAGGTTTAAGCAACTGACACAGGGCAATACATTAATTCATTATGAAAATAATCCATCACCAAATGGACCTAAATACCCTCACTGGCTGATGAATAGATTTTCTGAAGAGTCAAATCAAATGAGAAGGTTGTTTAGTAGGAACTTGAACAAAGAAAATGGGCTATACTGTCTTAATGACTTTAGGCCCAGCTTTAATAGTGGTAAAAGATTATACATGCCAAGAATTCCTGTCCACTGGGTAGGGTATGCTTTCTTGGCCAACAGTAAACGAATACCACTAAATTCTAGTTTTAGATCTCCACTGTGTCAGAGCCAAGCAGATCATTCCCCTTCTGTTAACGTTTTCTCTTCAGTTTTAAGTCACACCTTTCTTCAGTCAATTTCTAGTTATTTTCAACCACACATTTATTAAAAAAAGACTTTGATTTTATAATTTCCATGTTTTTTTAAAAAGTATAATCATACTATGTTCAAGGAGTACTACAGAGCCAAGCAATTGTTTCCTTGATATTATTTTAATCTAAATATCATATTCTTACACACACTTTTTTACCTTAAATCGGCAAAAGGGATTTTCCTGTGTGAATTCCACTGGTGGAATGTTATTGTTGAAATATCCTTTTCCTGTTCCCCAAAAGGCCTGCAGTTGATTCCATTTTGCCAAAATAGCATCTCTCTCATCTCCCAATAGCGTTGGAGCAGAAAGAGCACTCGCAGTATTTATCAGCTGGTTGGACTGGGTAGGAGCTTGTGTAGGTTGACTGAAGAGACCACCTAATGCTAAAATGCACCCAAAATTAGTATTT